CCTCCCATATGGTTATCCAGATATCTACTACCCCGATGATATAATCAAGGTCAGCGATTGTCTTGTAGACTGGAATATGGTTTGATCAACCGTTGAGCGTGTCCGCTGTCTGCATTTTGCGCAGGCGCAAATCCATCGGCGGCAAGTTTCGCGATCATGGTCATGGCTGCAGCTATTACATCTTCCACCAAGGCTGCCCGTCCTCCTATCCGCTCCGCGCAAGTATTCACTTCCCCTTCTCCATTACAACCCGGTCTGTTGCAATTGCAATCATGCTAACCAAATTGTTCCAAAACAGGCTGTCGCGTTGATACCGCTGCATCTACCACTTAGTCGTTGTTGTTTTGGAGCAGGTGGTCTGAATGACGCCTCAGTGCAAGGCAGTCGAGGTGTTCCGTGGACCTAGAGGCTTATCGAGGAGCCCTTCGAAGGATTGAGGACCTGGCATGATGGCAGACTGGATTGCGCTTAGGATACAGTAAGCGGCCATCTAATCACTGCTACGCCTCACGTTCGTCGTCTATGGCATTGTTCGGCCGAAGGCAAGCCAAAAACAATGGCCCCGTTGCCATTGTGGAGATATGCAGCACAGATCATTCCCAATGGCTCATGATTGCGTAGCAATCCATTGGATTTGATTGCTTCCACTATCCCTGTTGCGATAATGGGGGAGAGTTGGTGAACAGGCACCTGGTATGCAAGGGCAGCAGTTTGCTTTATAAGTGACGCCAGGGTGTCACGCCCTCGGACAATGGGGATGAGGAAGACTTTTGTACCATCACCACAATCTTCATTGTCATCATTATCCGCATTGTCACTGCTCCGAATCTCGCTTTGTCATGGCTCCTGGTAAAGACAGTGCTCGGGCTACTGGCCAGAACCCCTTGAACACAGCCCATGACGAGCGCAAGGCACTGATTGCCCGAGCACGAGGCCAACGTATTCTCGTGCCCGATCTCCTAGCGTTGATGCCTGCTTGGCCCAGTGATGTCCAGCCTGACATCGACGAAATCAACGAGAAGCTTGACGAATGGCTCAACACGTACGTTTCCACCCGTCATCCCACCATAACATGAGGTTTGCTAACGGGGAATAGGGTACATGTTGACGAGAGGAAGAAGATAAAGCACAGGGCCAGGGGTAACTATACCCTGTTGGCGGCGGTGTATTATCCACACACCTCCAAGGACAAGATGATCGTTCTGTCGCAATTTCTATACTGGGTAAGTATGTCTTCTGTTACACTCTTGATGTCTCTATGCTGACCAATTCTTCGCAGATCTTCTTTTGGGATGATGGTAAGTCTCCTCACCTCCGCCTTACAAGCCATGAATGTTACTGACAAGCTTCTAGAGATCGACACGGGGGGTGAACTCACCGAAGATGAGGAGGGGACACGGCTCTGCGTTGAGGAGACCAAGAAGTGCATCGAAGATTGCCTCGGCACTCGTATCGACTGTACACCGCCCGTTGGTGTTCGAGGAACGGTGGAGATGCTCTATCCGATCCTCAAAGGCCTCCGTGCCGGCTTGGGGCCAGTGTCGACCGAGCGCTTGCGCAAAGAGCTTCACGATTACGTGAACGGGGTAGGCAGACAGCAAGGCGTGCGCCAAGCCGACCGTCTACCCGATCCCTGGTATCACTTTCAGATCCGCGCTGACGATGTAGGGGTCGTCCCCAGCATTACGCAGACCGAGTTCGCCATGGGGTTTGAGCTTCCCGAGCCGGTGCGCAGACACGAGGCCATGGAGACCATCGTCCTTGAGTGCACCAAGTTGACGATCTTGCTCAACGAGGTTCTATCCCTGCAAAAGGAATTCGTAAGTCACTGATAAGAAAATCCCACACTGCGTCGTTCATTGCTAACCTTCTCACAGCGCGTCGGTCAACTCGAAAACCTCTGCCTCTTGTTCATGAACAAGTACGATATATCACTCCAGACTGCTATCAACAAGCTCCTGTGTCTGATACGAGAGCATTATCTGATATGTCTCAAGGCAGAGCAGAGGTTGCCGTGGAGCACACATGACGAGAAGCTCAACTCTGACATCCGAGAGTATGTCCGAGGATGCCAGCGTCTAGCCACGGGAACTGCCTACTGGAGGTAAGTTAACCTTATTATACATGCAAAACCAAAATTTTCTGGTGATTTACTGACACGATTATAGTTACTACTGCGAGAGATACTTCAAGAGCTCCCAGGTCAGCGAAGACAGGCGTCTCGTTCTGGAGCTTACCTGTGATGACTGAAACGGGTTTGGATTTCGGATACAGGGGAATGTTGGATTAGTCTCAAGTTGGATAAATTGGCATTTTGAATCAACATCCGTTACGCGAAGACATGGAAAATTGGGACTGAGAACATAGTTCATGAATAGATTGCTAGTGCTACGTGTAATTGCTAGCAAGCCTTGGCTGCGGTGATTCTGATATAAGATTGATCAAAAGTTTCAAGTCTTGGTGATGCGTCAGATTGGCGGCCAGAGGTAAAACGAGACCAGTCTCTGTCAGACGCTGAAGACTCGCACAAGACCGTTCCAAAATAAGGTGCCCTGCTCCCCTTCTGCGGCGTGAGGGAACTTCGCTCCATGATGCCTACTCAGGCTTTGGCTCCAGGTATCCCAGATGTAAGACATCTTCCTCCGGCACTTCTAACTTGATTGGCACCATCTCGCGCGTCTGATCGAAATGCACGCTGCCATATCTCAGATACGCCGCGAACGTTCCCTCGATGTTGTCTTTGTCGTGGTGCTCGGGAGAGTCCCACAAGTCTGCCAGGTGTGACTCGAACCACCCGGCTGGTCCATGCGAGAGTTTCATCGTGGCGGTATTTGCTAGCGCGTCCTTGACGAAGGCATCGGCGGCGTGCCAGGTTTCGTCCTTCACGACACCGTCTCCCTCGCGCTTCGCAGAGAGCAGCTCCAATTGGCGGGTGCCCGACCAACCGGTGATCGGTTGGAAGTAGTACAGCTCCTGGATGCCAGAATAGAAGAGCATCGACTTGGCGAGGTACTCGGGGCCATTAAAGCCGTCTTGGGGATCGATGAGCTTCGTCAGACGCTCATAGCACAAGAACGCGCCTAAGTAGTCACTCATGGTCTCCATCGTCACGCCCATATCCGGGGCGTTAAAATCTTGGGTAGGCGGGCAAACCAGTGGTATATGCCGCACAAGCGGATGCTTGTGGAACCCATGTGAGTTCGTAGCGCCATCCCATAGGGCAACATATATCTCGTGCCATCTCTTGATGAAAGGGTTGCCACGCTTCGTTGCTATGAAGGCATTCTGCAAGACCTGCTCATTCGGGCGTAACGGGATCAGAAAGCCAGCCATTTCGTAGGGCGATTGGGGATCCTGGATCTGTTTCCAGCAGATGTCATCAAGGTGGCGGAAAAGCAACATGCCGACGTCCATCCAGACGCCACCATACTTCCAGAGCAGGGGTAACCGGATCAAGTCACCCTGATGGGGTCCCACGTGGGGCCCATCCATAGTATTGTTGTTGAAGGCATCGGGGAAGAATGAACTCTCGAGATAGTGGTCGACGTTCGTATCGGAGCCAGGGACACGGTCGAGCAAGTGGACAGTCCATTCAGGGCCAAGTCTGCGGACCCAGCCAATAACATTGCGTTGGACCCAGGGAGGCATCTGAGAGTACCCTGAATGCCAGAAAGCCCACACATTCCTCTGAGAAGTAACTGGATGTCGGGTTTGGATCCATGAGGCGATTTCTGCGTCGGAACGTGGGTCGAGCCTCTCCGTTGGAATCAAGCTCACTCCACGAGGAAGATCCATCGCGAGAGGCTCTGCGGAGGCGCTGTTGGGCGAAGACGTGTTTCGGACCGTCGAGGGCATGTTGTGTCTGGGAATTTGATGGTATTCCGAGAAGACCGCTTGAATGCAGTGGGGGACGGCCTCGGGCTTTGCCTGCATTATATACCTGAGAGAAGCAAGGGGAATCCGCGCCGTCACAGTGGTACTGCGCAAGGAGAGTAGACAAGTGACCGATAATGAATGGCACTTGCCAAATAGACCCTCATTCGCTGGTACACGAGGAAGCTGTTAACGAGTGCTGCCTGAGCACTGAAGATGGTTGTTGGGTTGCCGCAGTCAGGGAAAGCACGGCCCACTGACACTCTTCGAGTCGGCGACCGTCCTGACATATGCGATGGGACTTCAGAACAGCAACGATGGAGAGAGGCTTGTGATTCACCGCCCTAACGGGAAATAGCAGGAATGGTTTACAAGTCGATAAGATAGTGTAACCGTGTGCTGGATACAAGTAGGTACCTTATCTTATGCAGCGGTACCGACATTCACCTAGCTGGAAGGACCGTCCAAATCGTGTTGGCTAGAACTTTCCTTTGATCTCCAATCCTGATGTGTAACGGCAGTCAGATCGGAAGTTACGCTGTCTTAGACTGATAAATCTTCCTGGGTTACGAGCGATCCCGCCCAGTTGAGATCACTGCCCTCAAGGACCGACGTGTCCAGGATGCAGAGAGGGATGTGCAAAGGTAAGTTCTGGACGAGGCTCTTGTATGCTTCTGTCTCCCAAGGCGGCAGTCCAGGAACGACATCTTCCAGGTCATCAAATCCAACCGACCGTGGCTCTTTTACGAAGGAAATATACGCATGAGTTGTATATCACGTACAACTCTCCCCGTTCTAAGAGCGAATGATGCAGCGTTCACGTCGTAGGAGTGCTTCGAACGCATCGCAGCTGTATTGCGAAGTTACGGTAGCAAAGGGGGTGGCTACCTCTTGTACAGCATCCCCGTAGTGGGGTCGCTGTGGCTGGCGACGCGAGATCCCAGTGGGGGTGACTGACAGAACTGTTCTAACAGCTGGCTGGCAGGCCGTAGAGACAAAACGAGATTTTCCACATCGTCACTTCCGGATTTTCACAACCAACAGGCCAAAAAATCAACCAGTATCCAAAACTAAGGGGATCAAAAAGCAAATTCTGATCAATCAGGCTCATTCTCACACGATAGGATCGACCTCGGCCGGATTCGAACCGACAATCTCCAGAGGATAGTAACATAGTCACCGAAATCTGGCGCCCTAACCATTAGGCCACGAGGCCTGTTGATCACGTTAAGATTTGTGGAGTTTCTAGTAGTTCAATGGCACCTATATCCATGCCTGTCAGCTAAGTACATACCTAGGTAGGTATACAGGGCTCTTCCTGCCACAAACTCTTCCCTGCAAGCTAGGTACAGCAAAACACCGACTGGCAGAACTCCCAATACTTTCTGCTTCCTCTGCCTCTTCCCCTTCCCCTTCCCCTTACATACTTAGGTACCTCAATAAGTCATGGCATCCTCGAACAGGCGTCGCAACTGATCCTTCTCCTTCTGCAATTCCTTGGCCAGCCCGGGCGCGAGCATGAGCACGCGCGCCTGGGGAATGGTGCCCTCGACCAGGTCCTCGATACTCTCACTCCCAAAGCCGAGGGCCCGCAGGCCGCGCGGCTGGTCGCCCAGGTCCGCGAGGAAGGCGGCGATGGCGTCGGCGAGGGCGGCGCCCGCGTCCGCGCGCTTGACGTTGGTCACGTCGACGCCGAACGCCTCGGCCGCCGCCAGGTGCCGCTCCGGGTTCGAGGCGGCGGTGAAGCGGAATACGGCCGGCGCCGTCACCGCCACCGACACGCCGTGCGGGATGATGGGCGTGCTGACCTCGTAGCCCGCGTGCTGGTACCCCGGGTTTTGCCCGGAGATCGGGTAGGACATGCCTGGCGTAGAAGGGTTGTTGTTAGCCTGAGACGCATGCGTAGCTGCGGTCACCGAGCGCTGATGCGCGGGTTGGGATGTCCGGGCTACGTGGCTTACCGTGGCAGAGATGCACGCCCGCGTTTCCGAACCCGACTCCCGCCAGCGTCGCGGCCAGGAGCATCTCGCTCTGCGCCTCAAAGTCCTCGGGGTCCTTGACGGCGCGGGGCAGGTACTTGATGGTGCTGCGCAGCGCGCTCAGCGAGAAGATATCGCTGATGGGGTTGGCGCCCTGGTACGCGGGCCGCATGATCGGGTTCGTCGGACGGGGCACTCTCTCGTTGAACGGGATCGCGGTCCAGGACTCGAGCGAGTGGCACAGCACATCCAGGCCCGAGCTCGCTTTGACGGCCGACGGCATCGTCTTCGTGTTCAGCGGGTCGCAGATCCCGAGCGTCGGCTTCAGGTTCCGGTGGGCGATGCCCGTCTTCGCCTTCTTGGCCACCAGGTCGAAGATGGCCGTGCCTGTCGTCTCGCTGCCCGTTCCGGCTGTGGTGGGAATGGCAACCAGCGGCTTTAGCTTCTTGTCAATCGGCCGCCCGTTGCCGAGGGGCGCGTTGACGAAGTCGAGGAACTCGGCATCGGGATACTCGGTGTACAGGTTCATAAGCTTGGCCGTGTCGATGACCGAGCCTCCGCCTACAGCCAGAAAGGCATCGGGCTTGTACGGCTTGGCGAAGTCGATCGCCTCCTTTATACTAACCCCGACATGAGCAACGGGATGACATCGCTTCGCCAAGGTGGGTTGGTACTTACGAACTGTCCTTCGGCTCAACGCGCACCTTGTCGAATATCTCGAATTCGATTCCCTCTCTTGACAATGCCTCTTCTACCTGCTTGGTTGCCGTCAAGCGCCTGACGGTCGAGTCCGTCACGACGCAAACCCGCTTGGCGCCCATGTTGGTGAAATCCATACCCACCTCCTGGGTGGCGCCGGGCCCGAAGCGGATTGACGAGGCAGCCATCTCAAACGCGTATTCCTTCTGTTGTGACGAGTCCATGGGAGAAGCAAAGCCGCGTCTGCTTGAGCGCATAGTGCGCTGGGCATACGCGTCGATCTGAGGCCGCGCATGGTGATGATGGTGACCTGGATTCGCGTGACATGGGCATGATGGCGGATGCGTATACTGAACGGTGCGTAGTAAGTTAAGTGCTCTTGTTGCAGCCTGTGTCATTCCGTGTCAGTCCATCCACGCCAATTGAACACGTAGCCCGTGTCCTGTCAGTGAGAGCTCACACTCGGTGCTACGCGGACGGCGGCAACCATATCGGCAGTTGATAGTCTGACCCTGTCAGTGTCTACCTAGGCATGTTCGGTCTTGGGAATTCGATGCAACTCACTTCAGCTAATTCCGAGTTGACTGGATTCCTCAATCGACGGTTCAGGATGACTTCGGCCCCAGGGAGCGGATATGTGCCAAAGGGGGGACGAGTTGACGGTATGGTCGTCATGAGAAGCCGAAGGCAATGTGGGGTAGCCGTCCGCAGTCGTGTCACCCGTGTGGAGGGCGCTGTGGAGGGCCCGCATTCCTCCTCACGGTCTACCCTTTCGGGATTCGGCGTGCGGGCAGTGGGCACTTGCACCGAGATCCCCCAAATTCTTCCTTCACCTCCCCGGGCTGTTGTGTTCCTAACGAAAAACTGGCCTGCAAATTACTTTATTGAGCCTGTCAACTTCCGCACAAGACCCAAAAGCCGCCGTGACCACTGGCGTGGAGAGGTATAAAGCTGGTATTGCTCCTATGATCTGCAATAGATCCAAGTCTAGACGACGCCTGCATCAAACATGCGGGAATCTCAGTATGTACCTAGCTTACCAAGATGTCCGAATTGGCGTCCCCCTTTCGGCAATACTCCGTTCAACCATGCATGAGGCTCTCCAAATCGTCAGGGTCTCAGGTTAGGCTCGCTTTCGGCGTGACTCAACTTCCTAGCTCAACCACGCACACCATCCCAAGCAAACCAGAGAGCCAAACAGGCAGCTGTGGACTGGGATACCAAGCGTCGGAATACATGAGGTACCTAGGTACCCAAGGTATCGTGTACCTGTTATGGGAGTGGCATTCGTAGATATAAAGGCCCAAAAGGCCGGCAGCAATATGTCGAGTTCCCTCTTCCAGACTGCGTCTTTGCACCTCCAACCTCGACTCTCACCATCACCTCGATATTTCCCGTCAAGATGTCGGCCGCATCCAACCCTTCAGGCAACAAGATGCCTCGAATGAGGATTCGAGAACTATTACCCAACATCCATCTCGGGAGTTGGAAACCAGGGCCGCTTAACTCTCTGACCGATGTCGCCGGCGTCCGGGTGCACACGCAGGAGATCTTCGCTGACGAAGGCAACGTCAATACCGGTGTGACCAGCATTATGCCTCGAAAGGACTGGTTCAAAAACGCCTGCTATGCCGGCGTCTTCAGCTTCAATGGCTCTGGGGAGATGACCGGTAGCCATTGGATTAACGAGACGGGTCTCTTGCACTCGCCAATCATCATCACCAATTCATTCTCCGTGGGCGCCGCGTACCAAGGCGTTTACGAATATGCCATCAAAGAGAGAGGTGCGACTAAGGGCGAGGTTGACTGGTTCTTATTACCTGTCGTTGCCGAGACCTACGATGGCTATCTGAATGACCTTACGCAATTTGCCGTCAAACCCGAACACATTGTTCATGGGTTGTCCAACGTATCCGCAGAACGGGTCAGAGAAGGCGCTGTCGGGGGTGGTGCTGGGATGATCTGCCGTAAGTGATATTGCCGTGGCCCCCCTCGTCACTCGTCGTGGTTTCGGACTGTTGATGTTGCGCACTCCAGATTACTTCAAAGGAGGCACCGGCAGTAGTAGTCGGGTTGTCCCAGGGGTCGATCTCAACGGAGAGCCCAAGTCCTATACTGTGGCTGCGCTGGTGCAAGCCAACTATGGGAAGCGGCCGCACTTGCGCATTGCGGGAGTCCCCGTTGGACGAATTCTCGATGAGGAGTACGCAAAGGCGGCTGAAGCCGATGCAGAGAAGAAGGCGGCGGAAGAGCACTTGGTGAATGAGAAGAACCGGAAAGATGGCAGCATCATAATCATCCTCGCCACGGATGCGCCGCTTCATCCGACCCAGCTTCAAAGACTCGCCAAGAGAGCCACTGTCGGCTTGGCTCGAGTCGGCGGCAACGGCCATAACCCTTCTGGTGATATCTTCCTGGCCTTCTCAACTGGCAATGGCGTTCCGGTGCAGACACTGTCCATGGAACGGCGCGCGGTCGACCCATTCAAGCCTTACCCCTTGACTACCACTTCAATCGATGATACGTCAATCAACGGGCTTTTCGAGGCAGCAGCGGACGCTACTGAGGAGGCAATATATAATGTTCTGTGCATGGCCGATACTATGGTAGGCCTGAATGGGCACAAGATTGACGGACTGCCTCTGGAGCGGGTGAAGGAGATCATGGAAAGATACATGGTCCCAGGAGGGTAGTAGGTGGCATTGGAGGGAGATATGATTTTCGCCCGAGCTCGTAGACTACGAAGTACGGAGCGAAAGGGAGGAACAAGATGGCTGATAGAACACAGAAAAAACGGCATAGGTATTTCAAAAGGATCAGAAGCCCAGGTACTCTGGTGGCAGCACAATCAGCGAATGTACAGGTAAACGTAACTTAGTCATTGTTTTTCAAAATGTACGTCTGGTGTGGACAATCAGTGCCAGTTGCTTGTCGGTAGGCACCTCTGGACAAGAACTCCGTGATGCCAGATTCGCTTCGCTGAGCGTATGTTCAGATGCAGCATTGAATAAAATAGCATAGCTGATGGCGCAATGAAGTACACTTGTAGGCGTGCAAGGTGATATAGGAAAAGGTGAGTGGTGACCGTGAGGACGCCGAAGAGAATCTTGAAACAGTGATCAAGCGGCACGAACGTGCAGTGGTGTTGGGCAGTAATGATTCAATGAAGACAGCAACTTGCAAAAAGACAATATAACCCCGCCGCATTATGCCAAAGGATGTGTCGTATTGGCCAGAGCAGACGCGGCTAATAATCTGACTAACTGTATTTGGTAAGCCCTTTCAGCCTCGAGCCCTCTGGTTGGCCCCGCCATGTCAGTCAAGGGCCAAGGCGAGGCATCGGCTCTCCGGGCTGCCAGCTCCCTGGGACCGCCCTGGGGCTCCTCGGGCTCCCAGGTTCTGCAGTAATGAGCTTAGCTGGCGCTATGGCCTCCCTATCGCCGACATGCCCCTGGCAGCATTGAAACTCGACTCTATCCGGGAAACATCTCGAGTCACTATTCAACAAACCCTCTGAGCCAACCCGCAAATCGGTCAC